GCTTATATTGGTCTTGGTTGGAAAATATACAATGAATTCGGTTGGAAGGTATACAAGTTCCTAGGGGCCGATCGCAGGATCAAGAAGATGTATGCCGACTATCAGATCTACGAGTGCCTAGTCAAATTCGACGTCTTTTTCTGGGTTGGATTCTCGGTACAATTCATTTGGCTCGTTCTGCAAGACACGGATTGGGAATACTACGTGACGTGTGCCGCCCTTCCTCTTTCCATCGTGCTCCTTGTCGAAGGCCACCTGGCAGCTCGACACGAGAACAAGTGGATGATGGCCACCTTCATGTCCGGTTGCGTGGGAGCCATGATCTATTTCATCTATAAGGTCTGTTCATCTCATCTCTGTCATTGAGATTCTAACTCATTAGCATCGATTCACAGCTCATCAAAGTACTGCTTTTCAAGAACACAGACCAGTTCAAGCTGGTGTGGAAATCCCTGACAGTTTTCTGTAAGTCCTATCTGATGCGTTGTCGGGGCCATTCATTGAATTTCTTTAAGCTGTGATTGCCATTGCCCTTCTCTTCGCTACATTTGTGTATTCTGTGATCGTTCTGAAGAATTTCGGTCGTGGTCTGAAGGATGCATGTAAGTATCAACCATTGTGACTCTACGACATTATAACCCACATCTTCCCCCACAGTAACGCGAAAAGCACAAGGCTTTGGCGCACCCCCTCATCGACGTGCAGCTAGCACGAACTTGAATCGCATGAGCATTGACTAAAAGTCATCTCCACGACCTCTCATGGAAAAACTCAACCACATTGTACTGATAGGCTCCCTTTGATACTTTATGACGACGCAGAATGGACTGTTCCCATATATCCAGAGCATTTTATATCTTTTTGCTTGCACGCAGTCCCTCAACGTACGCACCCCTCATCCATCCTCATCCGCAACCCATCTCTTCGTATCTTATTATCCGTAATATTATATATTCTTACACGGTACTGTCCATCGTTTTTATGGTACTCTGTAGATCCAGTTGTACCCGCTACCATTCATTTATCTTTATAGAAAGCACACCTTTCTTCATCTGCTTGGATATTGCATATATTTGTATTGTTAGTTTCTGACCATAACTCTGAGTGCACTGCCTTGTGCAACGTTGAGCAATGAGGGTCATCTTTTTTTGGAATGTCGTCGCCCGATCAGGCATTTAGCAGACACCGGCATCAACGTGTCACCACAACCACCAAGGTCTCCCAACGGACAATGCAAAATTAGACGGAGTCCAGTCATAACCCAAGCCCACACGTTTACCCTTTCTCTTTAATGTCCCAACGGTAAGCCGAACAATACCTTTGCCCATCCTATGCCGTCTCAACGATAGTATGTTTCCAATCCATTTTAGAGTACGAGCCGCACCCTCACTGCGTGACCGCTCAGCCCTATTGGGCGCGACACCACCCGCCTCTGGACGGTCGTCGCCCTTCGGCGGCAGCGCATACAACCCTTCAGGCGCGTACCCACCGAACGGCCACCGCTACGCTGATGACCTAGAAGGACAAAACGACGAGGCGCTTGACGGGCTCAGCGCCAAAGTAAAGCTATTAAAGGATGTGAGTGAGTTTGGTCGAGGTCAATACTTCGTTTGTCGGGTTTTGCTGACTACTACTTGTTGCTGCTGGTGTAGATAACTATTGGTATTGGGAACGAAGTTCGCGAGTCGACGATACAACTAAGCCAGATGGTACGCCATTTCTCATGGAACCAATGACCTCGGACTGCTTACTTTCCGCTGCCTTTCTCCTAGAACGATGCGTTTGCAGAGACAGGTGGCATTCTTTCTGGTACATTTCGACGCATGAACAACATGGCTGCGCGACAAGGCTGTCGCTGGCTATGGTACATCATCTTTCTCATCATCGTTTTTTGGTTCTTCATGGTCGTATGGTGGTTTCGGAGATGACTTCCCCTCCTCGTTTACTTATTCTTGTCCATTTATATTTCCTCTCCACATCTTACTTGGTGCTCAAGCAATGGATACTTTCCTCTTTCACTCTCGCGCGAAACGAAAGTTGGAAGAGCCCGACAATGCAAGAATTGCTAACAAAATACAGCACAATTGGAAGATATAAAATGAACAAAAAAAAATCCCAAAAGAATACAAAAAAGATCAACGGTCGTCCCGAAGTTTGGCGTTCCCAATCTCCCATATCATCCGTCGTCGAAGATAAGGCATGTCTTTTTGTGAAAAGTTGAAGAAGTCCTCCCCTCTGGATAGAGCCTCCATGAACTGACATGTAAAGACTCCACAGTCATAGCCGTTCTCTTGTTGTGGTGTACTCTGCATAAGGAGGAAAATGATCAGTAATCTCCCATACACAAACAGCAAAATACTCACAGCTGGGGCCCAATCTTCCCATCCTGTGAAATCAAAGTCCTTTTTCTTCTTATTGTGATGCTCCACCTTAACATAGTCCCGTAGTTGCTGGGATCAACCATCAAAATCTTGACCATTAACTGGAGGAGAAAATTCACTAACCCTGAACACTTGCCCCTTGGCCATACCCATGCTATCATAGGACTCGAACCTCTTTGCACGGAAATTTATCGCAGCGGCAGTCCAATGGGCATTACCGTGATTAACTGGCATTAATACAACATCCTTCGAGAAGATATCAATCTAAAGTTGCGTTAGACAGAAGCTCCAATAATGCGACAGACGAGAAAAAATACTGACCCTCTTCGTCCACTTCGCAAGTCTGCCCCTATCATAACCTTCCTGCGTTAACTTGGTCCAAAAGAAAGAGCTGAAGTAATGAATATTCAGCGGGATCTTCTTAGATTTCCTCCCGTTCGCCTGAGACCCTGGATTCTCCTTGCTGCCTTCAGAACGACCAAGCAGCATTGCGCCGTAAAAGTTGATAACTTCGTCGTTCAGCCATTGACCAGGCTGCAACCGTGACAAGTCCTGCTGCGAAACTTGCTCTTTTGCGAACTTGGAAACGACACCACGCCTCCGAAGAATGTCGTTGACAGCACTTTCATCATCTGGGGGTAAGCTGGAGGGCAATGGAGGTACAGGAGGGCGGATACGTCGTTCAATGTCGTCATCTTTGGCACGGTATTGAAGTTGAAGTTGTTCGAGGGTTGGTACAAAGGGTTTGGGAGGTTTGGGACTGACAATGCGTTAGTTCAGAAGATCGAACAATAGAAATCTTAACATCTACCTATTTAGTGTCGCCTTAGCATTATCCAGTGCACGTTGCAAAAACTGAGTATCATCCTCCTATTTTGAATGGCGGGTCAGAAACTTTGTCAAGGCAATCGAAACGGTGTGCTTACAGATTCAAAACGTTTATGACCTCGCGGTATTGATTTAACTCCGAATGGTCCTGCTGGAATGTTTAGTGTTTAATGATAGATATAGAGTACATCATAAGATACGAACGTAGTGGTGGCGGAGCGTTTTCTAGATCAATATTCTGGAGTTTACGCTGATAATCCAATAATCCTAAAGACGATGTTAAATGGGTGCAAAATGCGACAAGCAACGCTAATTACCTTTAAAGTCCGAGAATCCAGATGTAAAACCTAAGAAACAATGTAAGCAAGAGTATTAAGAAGCACGAGTAAGGCACACACCTGTTCGCCGCGTTATCTCGTATAGTTCACGTGTAATTTCCTCGCGCAGTTGCAAGTGATTGCGCCGCACGCTGGCTTTATGCTATTACCGATTGAGACCCGTTCCATAACGAAAGTATGTTGGATTTACGCACTACTTTGGAGAATATATGCTCTCTATTTCTAAGATTCCGCCGCAGAGGATCCCGTTTGGACGACTGAGAAGATCTCCGAGATGTCTGACTGCCAAGATCCAGTTGTGAATCTTCGAGAAGGCTAGACAAATTGGAGGTTTGTGATGACAGTGCCGACGAGGCTAAAGAATTTCCGAGACGGAGATTCTTCATATTTGGCACGACATGGTTCTTTAATACGTTATCAGGCGAGGGATGGATAGATGGCTCTGTTGGTATTCGTTTGAACGAAGTTGTTGGAGTGGATGATCCGAATGGTGTTGAGCGATTCAACAGCGCGGATGTGTTCAGGATTTCGGAAGGGTAGGAAAGGGTGAGAGGGGAGGGCGAGGGTAGATTTTGATAACTTGACTTGGGCCCTGGCGGCGTCACTGGAAGTGGTACATCTTCCGGACGTCTAGCATATTTGGATACATTGACTATAAGGTAGGAGTTACTTCGTTCCGCGGGGTCCATCGCATATTTGGGGGGAGAAACTGGACGTTTTCTGGGGGGCGACGTCCCATCAGAGTTTACGAGGGGTAACAGCCGTTGTCGAGGAGTCGAAAGTGAGGATGTGGAAGAGTCGAAGGGGATGGAGGGTGGTGATTCGACAGGTGATTCGCTTTGCTCACTTTCCGACTTCATGGATATCGCTGCGAATATACTTGAATTGAGAATCGTATTTTCAAGGCGAGCTTAGCAACTTACATGGTAGAATAACCTCGAATGTGTCGGTAAGGAGCACAGTAAACTCTTTTGCGAAGCTTAACCAGCGAGAACGGATTCCTTCTTTCTCAGAAGGGCTGGGGGCACCGCCGTCGTATCCCTGTAACGCTAGACGTGGTTGTTTCGGACGTTGTATAGGTAGTAGCGGTTGGTGAGCTTGGCGTTTCCGAGGATTCATGGGAGAAAAGGTCGAGGACAGGGTGAGTACAAGGCAATGGCCCGGGACCGAGGGACTGTCTGCGGCACTGTCTGACCTGGCGTGGAAAGTGCGGTGGACACGCTTTAATTGACGCGTGTTGGTATATTTACAGGTGGTATAGAACGACTTGGGTGCCACGGCGCGTGGTTGAGGATGTCCTTTCGAAGGGGCGGAAGCCAGCCAGATATCAGCACAAGTGAAGGAGATGGTGGTAAGTAGTAAGTGACAACTGTGACGAAAACACGATATGTCACAAAAAAAATACACCTGGATGGACAACATCATATCTGCTACTATTCAGTCTTAAATATCCGCCTCCTTGGCTCAGTTGGTTAGAGCGCAGGTCTCATAGCAATATGAGTAACTAAGCAAGTTACGTAATCCTGAGGTCGCAAGTTCGACCCTTGCAGGGGGCATTTCTTTTGTTTTGTAATTAATGGCTTGCTTTCTTTTATGAGCACTGAAAATAGGGCATGTAGCTGTATGTATTCCTTTATGCGTTGCGCAGCTAAATTTGCTCTTTTTCGATAATTTTGCGTCATGCATATGGGTGAAAACACATATTGGGGACACATTTCACGCATTAAATAAGTGTCATCCGCCATCTCCTCTCGACTCTTGAGCCTCTCGTTCGGAGAAATGAGCCCGTTTATTCGCCTCAGGCTCTGCTGATCCTCTTGAATCTTGATCATGATCTCCTGCAATCAGGAGAAAGCCTGTTTCTTCGGCAAATTTATCGGTCAAGAACAGGTGCTCGTGGGTCCCATGAACGCAGATGGATTGATTGTGACACCAGTAATAGAACCAGCAGCATATTGAACGTAATAGTATGTCTGCTGAGCTGTCCCGAGGACCTGCGAATAAATAGTTTGGTAAAGTGCTCAGTACTCACAAGCTGCCAAATGCACAATCTTGAGCAATGCGGTGACCATAATCATGATTCCAGAGTAATTCACGCCCAGGTACCGTGAATTCGGAAATCGATACACACTGGATGTGGTGTTAGAAGGTGAGCGAGACGGAGATAGAGCGCACAACGGTGAGCCTGGGAGCACGGTGCTTTCGAAAAAGAAATCATAGCCGACAGTACGTGACTATACTTCACACCATATTGACGAGTAAGACGTCAATACAGTAGCATCAGCGCAGTCAAGACATTCGGCATCTCCGTCACAAGTTTCCAGAGCTTGGGCCCGTGGATATTCGCGGCCGAGAACTGGTCACTGTAAAACACGCATAAAAAGGGACGAAAGAACGCGTGTAGACCAGGCGATTTTGCTCGTCGAACACGAGGATAAGAATCAGGACCTAGATGAAACGATAAGGCATGGGCACAGGACGGAAAGTAGATGAAAATGGAGGGGAATTCGATGTGTGACGGTGCGGACCAAGCTTATTTATGGCAATTTCTCGGATTAGCTCATATATAACCCTTTGTTATCTACCCTCGTCTCTCACACGACCGCAACATATAAAGACCATTCTCCGCGCCCAAGAGTGACCCACTGCCCTAGTTTCCCCTTCATATTCTTTTGTGCCCCTCTACTCATCTCCTTCACCCCACTCACACCCAGCAACTAGGCAACCAGCAGCACCATGGGCATGAGCTACCGTCGATACCTTTCTGGTGAACGCATCTATGGATGCTCGACCTGCAAGACCCACCTCGCCACCATCCACACCATGATGTCTAGGGTAAGCAACAACTTACTGCATTTACTGCCTTACTGTGGCTGACCACCAGCATGCTCCGACAGGCGTTCAACGGCCAGCATGGTAGAGCCTACCTCTTCGACGGCGTGTAAGGCATCCACTCTGTTAATCAAAAGCCCTGCGCTCATCCACCTTTATCTCATCAGTGTCAATATCATCGAAGGCGAACCTGACGATCGTCCCATGACCACTGGCAACCACACTGTCCGCGACATCTACTGCTGCAAGTGCGGCACTACTCTCGGCTGGAAATACGTAAATACCCCTTATATCACAACCATCTTCCAATTCACAGTTCTAACAGTAAACTACCCCGATATAGGACAAGGCGTACGAGCCCTCGCAGAAGTACAAAGAAGGCAAATATATTCTTGAGCGTAACCTGCTCGTGGACGTGCAGTAGGTTCACTCCGCGACAGCTCCCAATGTAGCTGTCCTTCGTCGCTCCTCCTCCTCCGCCGGCGGTCGTATATACCCTTCCCCGCAGGAGGCCGCGCACACACGCACACACCGGCAGGCCGTTTTGATCGTATTGGTCTAGCATCCATCGTCTTTTCGGACTTTCTCAACAACATCAAACATTGTACAATAGGAAAGAAGAGAGGAAGGGGAAGTTTTCGAAAGGGAACGCGCAGAGAAACACAGAAGCAGCATAACCTCATTGAGCAGGTGTACGACTACGGCACTCCTGGGCGCCATGCCTCGTTTCAACGGCCAGTTCCCCCATTTCTATCGTCTTCACTGATGTCCCCAGTGTCTCGACAATACACCGACGTCGGCCTGGTCATCGATGAATCCTTTTAATCATGAATTGCGGCTTTATTCATTCATCGCCCGCGATCCGTCCTCCCCTCCTTTACTCTCAATGCCGACCCTTCCATTTGTATCGCATCTTTTCATCGACGACGTTTGTACAAGAAGCATATAGATTTAATCAACTCGGGGAAACTTTCATTATAGTATTCCCGATATCCTTTGCCATCTTCCTCCTCCTCGTCTAATCACCTAGTACACGCAGCTTATAATATAATATTTATTCGCTGTGTTGTCTTCCCACCTCTCAACCTCCTCTCCATCATTCCCTCGAACCTGTTTTGTCCCGTATTGGTGTTTAGCTTCTTATTATTAGACGATTGATAGTACAATTCAAGTTCAGAATGTCCCCGCCCATCTCGGTGTCGCTGGGTATGAGTCTCTGAGATCCGCCTTCGCGGCCTTGTCTGGCCTTGTCCTTAATTAAGAAGGTCACGTTGTTGTGTGAAGTAGTTATTTTTGTGAACCTGGACTATGCCCAATTTTCTTGCTGCACTCCTCGTTCCATCTCGCAGATTCGACTCCTATGGCTTGTATGCGGGTATCAGCTCAAGCTCGTACGGTGGTCCGTTGAGCATCGGACAAGAGCACTATCCGATACCAGTTGGCTATCGTTGCTTAATTAACTCACTACCACACCCCAGTGATCATTAAATCTTTAATCGATGACTACATGGAGATGATAGTCAACTATGGGCCAAGTGGACCACCGCGCCGTAAGAGTCTGGGGTTGGGGTATTCTTTCACTTGGGTCCCTCAGACCTAAGAAACTCTTCATCTCGAATTGGTTAGGGGTGAATAGCATATACTAGAAATAGCGCCTTTATAGCCCTCCTCGCCGAATCCTCGCATCATGAGTAATGGAAAGCAGATGTAAACTGACACTCATTGAAAGCTGTCTTGCGCCCTCGCGGACAATACACATGGGCATCGTGAGCACAGAGTAAGTTGCCAGAATAATAAATATATCAGACTGGGGTCGACATATGGGTATCATGCAAATGCGCCACATGCCAAATTGGGACTGCGTCTATGTTCGTACACACGCAATGGCTTCCCACTGCATGACAACGTTAACATGACAGACGAGGACTAAACGCATCGGTGAGAGCGAATTACATGGATCAAGAAAAGCCGTCCCGAAATGTTCCTTCATATCGTCATTGCAGCACCAGGTTACCACGAAGATTTCCGTACCTTGAGAATTCTTGAGAACAGGCTTTGTGTCTCGAGGTAGATGTCAACATCTATACATCAGGCCGGCGTAAAACCTTAACTTCCTGATCTGCAAGAGAGAACGAATAACCATGTATAAGTACACCAAGTACTGTTCCAAGTCATGAAAGTAAATCTGTATGCACAGCGACGACCATCGAGAGTATCCCCTTTCTGTATAAAAGGAAGCCAAATATCTAGTTAATGGCAAGTAATAGTGCGTCATCATCCCAATGCTCGGGGATCTTTAAGGTTGTGCTGTACAATACGTACTAGCAGATCCTTCATGCGCTTTGTCGGGGTCGGTGTTCCTTAATCCTTATTCTGGTAGTTACCACACAGCTGGTTGCAAGTAGCTCGCACGAACAACAACAGTTGGGAATTGGGACCTGCTCGCAGCGCATGGAATCCAATAGTTATCAGTACATCATGCTGATTAACAAGTAGTACCGACTCACGTGCAAGCAGTAAGACGAGGAGGTGTTGATCATCATGTACTTCCGCCGTGCTATAACGATGCACAGTGTGAATGCCAAGGTGGGGCGAAGCCTTTTTCAGAGACCATTTTCGTGTGGGTAACCCACGGATTTTAACAGTCGACGAGGAAGAGAAGGCAAAAGCAGGGTTTCCTAGTCTCGCGAAAAAAAGACGGATAGGCTATCCATCTTTTCTTTACGAACGCTTTCGGTTTAGCGACCCCGGGTTGAGAGCTCGAGATTGAACAACGTGGACAAGAAATAAGACTGGCACAAGGTTCATTGGGGAGCCAGAATGAAGCCGCGTGCATATTTGCTGCCTCGATGAAAACCAACGCGTTGGAGACATTCACTATGCAGTTATCAGTGTTTATCGGCTCGTTTGGGGCAATCTCACGCTGAACCCGAGTAATTCTGAACGTGGTTTCTGCCACCGCTACCAAGGCCAGGAAGAAGAGTGTGAGACAAAAATTTCCTTAGAATGGTTTCCAAGCGCTTGTGGATGGTGGTGCCGTGTAAATAGGATGGTCCTCCGAAAGATAGCGTTTCCTGATTTACTGCGCCGATCCTCAAGATGGCTTTGAAAGCGCAGCATGGGTAACGTTTCGCTGGGAAGTAGTAGTAAGCATGGAAGTATAATGTGGTGTCTAGAGCAAAGAGAGTCGGGAAGAGAAGGAAAAGAGGCGCGGGTCATGCACGTGTCGGAGCCAATGAGAGCACGTGGCTGTTTTGGGCGTGCCGGCGAGCTCTGCCGAGCTGTCCCCAAAAACGCCTCACAGCTCTTTCCCCAAACGAAATGTTTTAGACCTCCAGCCCCAACTTACACTCCGCGTATAAATACTCCCTCCTTACTTGTCTCCAGACCCATTCAAAATTTGCCCCGCATTCCTGTGCTATAAGAACTCCATCCTCCCTTGACAATGCGTAAGTTAGTCGCCCTCTCTCGTCACCATTCTCTCTGACATTTCTCGCGTCACAGCCGCCATGACCGTCGCTGTTTCCCGCCCAGCCGTCTCGTCCCCACTCGCACACTCATCGCAATCAAATATCCCCGCGGCGAAGCGCATTGTCGCAAAACGCAACCCCTCATTCCCCTCTTCGCGTGCTTTGCGACCATTCCCCACCATTTCGCATGTTCTGCAGCCCGGCTCCGCAAAGTCGTCGTCGAAATCAAACACCGTTAAACTCATCGAGCCCCC